TCTTGCCTAATAAGCGAGTTTTACTGAAAAAAAGTAAGTTTTTAGCTCAAAAATGTATTAAGATGCTAGAAATGTGTGTTTCTTGGGTTTTCTACAAAAAAGGTAAATTTTTACCAAAAAATATGATACAAATATTCGAGTGTTTCTTTGGGATAGTGACTATAGTTACAAATTAACAAAATTAACAATTTGTAAGTCCAGACAACTAATTCCAATTTGTTTTTATCCCTTAGTCTTTGTTTCTAAAACACTGATATTTTATCTTATCTGATATTTTCGTTTTAAAAAAACGAAAGAGAGCTATTTCTTCTATTTTAGCTTCAATCGTGCCACAAAAATAAAAAAAGGAAAAAAAGAAAAACACAAAAAAACAGTAAAACACAAAAGAAGAAACAAAAGTGAATTCCATTAAAAAATATTAGTTGTTTAATGAATTAACACAATATTTTTTATGATTTCGAAACAAAACACAACGATATCTTTATTTATTATTATTATCATCAAGGATTAATTAAAAAAAGAACAATGTTAAGAAAATGTTTTTGCAGCCTGTTATCAAAATCTTACTTAATAAGCGAGTTTTACTGAAAAAAGTAAGTTCTTGGCTCAAAAATGTACTTAGATGCTGGAAATATGTAATTTTTACCAAAAAATATAAGTTTTTTACTTGAAACCGGTTTAAACGCTCAAAAAGAACATAATTATCGTCACTTTCGGCTTAAATATGCAACTTATTTTTTCTCTTTTTGAATGAGATTTTACAGAAAAATTATTCCTCAACCAAAAAACTCAATTTTTGTCTCCAAAGCGTGTTTAATTGTTCAAAAAATGCAAGAATAACATCATTTCGACTGTATTAAATGTGTAATTTCTTACCAAAAAAAAAATATTGTCAACAAAAGAATCAAAAATAAGATGTCCTACACATATCGATTATTTATAGGCCTACCGGATCTAGTTACGTTAGATTAAAAAAAACTATGATTTGATCTTTTTTCGGCTTATTTTTATCTTAGACGTGCTTAAATTTCTGATTATTCGACCAATTGAGTGAAATATTAGGGACAACAAAAATAAATGCAAAAATTTCATTTTTTTCCTAAATAAGTAAGTGTTTTTTGGTCTATTTAATTAAAATCTCGCCTAATAAGTGAGTTTTACTGAAAAAAGTAAGCTCAAAAATGTATTTAGGTACTGGAAATATGTGTTTCATGGGACATCATCGACCAAAAAAGGTAAATTTTTACCAAAAAATATGAGTTTTTTTACTCGAAACTGGATTTAAACTTTAAATACTCGAAAAGAACATAGTTAGTTTTCTTCATTCTCGGCTTAAATATGCAATTTTTCTCTCTCTCTTTGAGTGAGATTTGCAGAAAAATTATTCTTCAACCAAAAAAAACGCAATTGTTGTCTCCAAAACGTGTTTAATTGGGCTTATCTGACTTAGTTAAATTAGATTTTTTTGTAAAAACTACGCTTTGAGTCTCTTTTGACTAAAGTGAATTTTAGGCAAAAAACTCGCTTAAACCGTCAAATAATAAAAAATAACGCTATTTTTGACCTAATTGGGAATTGTTTTAGCTTATATAAGCAAAATAAGACAAAGATACTGTCATTTTTTCACAATTTTAGTAAAAAATTTAATTAATTTGATTTTTTTTTGAATTATTATATTAATAAAATTAATGGTAAGTAAGTGTATTTT